TAAGTCAGTCAAATCATTATGCCATATACCTTAAACTTATACAGTGCTGTATGTCAATTATATCTCAATACACCTGGAAGAAAATAAGATAAAAATACCTTTACTAAAAAAAAAAAAGCTGGGAAAAATATACGTGCAACACATTTGATGGACAGTGGTTATTGTCTATGGCAAGCATCTGCAAACATTTTCTGTAAAGAGTCAAACAGTAAATATTTGAAACTTCAGGGCCTCAATCATAACCCTTCAAGTTTTTCTCTGTAGCACAAATGCAACCATAAACCATTCACAAACAAATAAGCACAGCTGTGTTCTAAAAAAGCTATATGGATACTGAAGTTTGCACTTCATATAATTTCCACAAATCATTTTTTTCAACCATTTAAAAATGAAAAACTGAGGGACTTCTTTGGCGGTCCAATGGTTAGGAATCCACCTGCCAATGCTAGGGACACAGTTTTGACCCCTGGTCCCAGAAGATTCGACACACCTCACAGCAACTAAGCCCACACACCACAACTACTGAAGCCCACACACTCTAGAGACTGTGCTCCACAATGAGAAGCCACTGCAAAGAGAAGTCTGCTCACCCTAGCGAAGACTGGTCCCCACGCGTCTCAACTAGAGAAAGCCTGTGCCCAGCAACAAAGACCCAGGGCAGCCAAAAAAACTAATCAATAAAATTACTTTTTAAATTATGACATCATAATAAAATTGACAATCACTGTTGATAATAATGCAAAGTAAAGGAATATCCCTTTAAAAAAATAAAAATGCAAAAACTGGGAATTCCCTGACAGTCCAGTGGTTAGGACTCCACACTTTCACTGCTGTGAACCCAGGTTCGATCTCTAGTCAGGGAACTAAGATCCTACAAGTCATGCTGCTGCTGCTGCTAAGTCACTTCAGTCGTGTCCGACTCCTAGCGACCCCATGGACTGCAGCCCACCAGGCTCCTCCGTCCATGGGATTTTCTAGGAAAGAGTACTGGAGTGGGTCGCCATTGCCTTCTCTGACAAGTCATGCAGCATGGTCAAAAAAAAAATAAATTAAATAAATAAACAAATCATTTTAAATATAAAAACCATTCTTGACTTGCAAGCCTCATAAAAAAGATAATTGGTCAAATTTGGCCTAAGGGCCACAGTTTTTCACCCCTGTCTTTGATGTACCAAAAGTTCCTGTTGCTTGGTAAGGAAAGGCAAAGGGTAACGGATGTAAACCTGCAGGAAAAAAACAATCCAAATGGTCACTAAGCATTTGTTACAGGATGTAGAATGAGATTTTTTCCCTTTCATCTGAATACAATATATGATGAATAATCCCACATTCTAAAGAGAAAGTCTTGACATGCTCTTGAAAACTTTCTAGAAGAGATCAGAACCAGTCCTTTGACTATCAACCCTCATCACTCATCTCCAGATAATAATAGCTAATAAAAAAAAACTGGGGGACTTCCTTGGTGGCTCAGATGGTAAAGAATCGGCCTGTAATGCAGGAGACACTGGTTCGATCTCTGGGTCAGAAAGATCCCCTGGAGAAGAGAATGGCTACTCACCCCAATATTCTTGCCAGGAGAATCCCATGGACAGAGGAGCCTGGCAGGCTACAGTCCATGGGGTCGAAAGAGCTGGACATGACTGAGCAACTAAGCATGATAATTCAGAAAAGGAAAGAGAAGAGGGGTCAAAGTCATTCTTAGCCTATTTAACACCCAGAACAAATGATGTTTTAACTCTCTCACCATTATACGACACTATTTTGGTAATTACCATGTAATGAAACCATATCCAATATTGAAGGTATTATATATTTCAAAATAGATCATGTCATTTTCTAACAACTTCTTCTGCTTTTTTTCTTTGTTGTGTTCTACTGGGTCAATATTCAAAAAACAGAGTCATTACTTTGCCAACAAAGGTCCATCTAGTCAAGGCAATGGTTTTTCCAGTAGTCATGTATGGATGTGAGAGTTGGACTGTAAACAAAGCTGAGTGCCAAAGAATTGATGCTTTTGAACTGTGGTGTTGGAGAAGACTCTTTAGAGTCCCTTGGACTGCAAGGAGATCCAACCAGTCCATCCTAAAGGAGATCAGTCCTGAGTGTTCATTGGAAGGACTGATGTTGAAGCTGAAACTCCAACATTTTGGCCACCTGATGTGAAGAGCTGACTCATTTGAAAAGACCCTGATGCTGAGAAAGACTGAAGGCAAGAGAAGAAGGGAACGACAGAGGATGAGGTGGTTGGATGGCATCACCAACTCAATGGACATGAGTTTGGGTAAACTTCGGGAGTTGGTGATGGACAGGGAAGCCTGGTGTGCTGCAGTCCATGGGGTCGTGGAGAGTCGGACATGACTGAGCAACTGAACTGAACTGATTGGGTCAATGTCTTTTCCTGTTGGAGCAGTACCCTCCTCGCACTGCTGTCAAGGGATTTGCAGATGTCATTATGTCCACAAATCAGTTGATCTTAAGAAAGTGACATTATCTAGGTGGTCCTAACCTAATAACATGAGCCCACTAAAAGCACTGTCCCTAGCTGGTGGCAGAAACTTCTAGAAAGGAATGCAACTTAGCCAACACTTTAATTTCTACCTTACTGAGAACCCACACATGTTGTGCCCAGACTTCTGACCTACTGACCTGTGGGTTAATAGATGAATGCTGTTTTATGCCACTAAATTGGTGATAAATTATTACTGCTTGTACCCAGGTGGACTGATCCCACCCTCGTCCTTAGCACCCACCAGTAAGAAGTCTTAGGGGGATGTGAGCTGGTTTTCCCTCTCCAGCGCTCTCCCAGCTGCAGTTAATATGCAGAGTACACCGTGTTTCACAGGGCTGGACTGCAGCCAAGACATGGGCTCTGCCTGGCCCTTCTTCCTGCATGTCCTCAGGTGCCCCCTAAAAGTCTTTGACCCCTTTAGTGCAGTCTCTTTTTAATGGTCTGTTGCTGCTGTTTTGCTTCTATTTGTTGGCTGTGCTCCGAGGCATACTGATGTTTGTTCCCCAGGCAGAGATCAAACCCAGACCCCGTGCCCCTGCAGTGGAAGTGCAGTGTCTTCACCACTGCACCACTAGGAAAGTCTCTCTAGTACAGTCTTGAGAATCACTGCTCTAGTGATACTCTATACTTTCTTACCTCTGGACACTCAGTTTCCATTTTTTAATTGCATTTCTTTTTTCACCAACAACAACAAAAAATGAAGAGCATCTTTGTGTATAAAACTTTGAACTTTGGCTGGTTTTCTTAGGATAAGAAATGCTGAGTCAAGAAGGATGAATATTTTTAAGGCTCCTGATATATAACAACAAGTTTTTCTAGAGACTCTACCTACCTACCATCCCATTACCGAAGTATGTCTAAGGCTGAGCCAATGGAGATTTTTGGCTCAATGAATTAGGAGATGTTTGGGGGGAAGATCCTCTTTTCATCCTACCTTTGAACTCTCTCCCACTTACTGACTCATCTTCACTCCCAAGCTTCCAGTAACTCACTGGGAACCTCTACCTGAAAATTCCAATTGGGTTGTCTCCAAAACTAAATCACTTGTCTCCTTTCCATTTCTTCTCCACTGAAATGCTCCAGATCCAGAAAACAGATCTATCATTGTGACTGGGGCCATGGTAGTAATCACGACAATAACCATGGCAACCAGATTCCCCAAAGAAATCATACCGAGGGCAGAGATGACCCAGGAGGCTGAGTGGGACTACAGACCTTCTTCTCCCGAGTTGGGCACAGAATGGGACACTTAATGGCATGTACTGGAAGCACCTGCGCACCAAAGGACAAGACGAAAGAGTGACAAACACACCTCAATGAGTAACATGGAGCAGGCGGTGCCCGGAAAGCGAGGTACAAAACCGGGATTTTGGTGCTGGCAGTTACAGCTTTGGGCTTCCCTGGTAGTTCAGTTGGTAAAGAATTTGCCTGCAATGCAGGAAACCTGTTTGATTCCTGGATAGGGAAGATCCCCTGGAGAAGGGATAGGTTACACACTCCACTATTCATGGGATTCCCTGGTGGCTCAGATGGTAAACAATCCTCCTGCGGTGTGGAAGACCTGGATGCAATCCCTGGGTTGGGAAGATCCCCTGGAGGAGGACATGGCAACCCACTCCTGTATTCTTGCCTAGAGAATCCCATGGACAGAGGAGCCTGGCGGGCTAAGAGTCAGATACAACTGAGCGACTAACCACAGCACAGTTACAGCTTTTGCACGCAGAAGGCTAGCTTTCATGCCAAGCATGTCACCCTGCTTATTTAACTTACATGCAGAGTACATCATGCGAAATGTGGGGCTGGATGAAGCACAAGCTGGAATCAAGATTGCCATGAGAAATATCAATAACCTCAGATANTAAAACTCCAATACTTTGGCCACCTGATGCAAAGAACTGACTCCTTGGAAAAGACCCTGATGCTGGGAGGGATTGGGGGCAGGAGGAGAAGGGGACGACAGAGGATGAGATGGTTGGATGCCATCACCGACTCGATAGACATGAGTTTGAGCAAGCTCCAGGAGCTGGTGATGGACAGGGAAGCCTGGTGTGCTGCAGTCCCTGGGGTCGCAGAGTCGGACACGACTGAGCGACTGAACTGAACTGAAGGAATCTCTTCCCAGGTGGTGCTAGTGGTAAAGAACCCGCCTGCCAATCCAAGACATGTGAGAGATTCAGTTTGGATCCCTGGGTTGGGAAGATCCCCTGGAGTAGGAAATGGCAACCCACTCCAGTATTCTGCCTGGAGAAGCCCATGAACAGAGGAGTCTGTCGGGCTATGGTCTATGAGATCGCAAAGAGTCAGACACGACTGAAGACTCAGCATAGTACCGGGGCTAACTGCGCAGCCGCCGGTAGAGTAGGCCGGCTGCCAGGCAACGGCGCGAGAGCCGGCGCTCAGGCTTTCGTGCTCAAGCTCCCTTGGCCGCGCGTGCGCGCGCATAGTCAGGGACCCGACAGCCGGAAGCAGGGGGAAGGGGTGGGGTCTCGCGCATGCGTGCGCCGTACAAAGCATTTGGCGGGTTTTTCCGGGCTAAACTGTTTTGCTTCCATCAGTGAGAAGCTCTGCGGTGGCTTTTAGGAAGCAGGACGTTCTCCCCAGGAGAACGAACTTCTCAAGATTTCTGTTTTCTTCCTCTCGGCGTTTGAGGGCTTCAAAAAAAAAGAGAGAAAGAAAAAAGTGTTTCTCCGTGTCTGACGACTGGGGCCTTCTGACCGCCTGATCTTGGTCCATTTGGTCACTCTCAGCCTCAGGCCTTCGGAGGGTGAAAGGATCAGAGGGACCTCGTTCTGCTCATCGATCTCCACGCTTGTGGGTTTCTTGGTGTCAGGTCGGAGCTAGGGTGGGCCCGGCCCCGATCCCCCTCCTGGGTCATCATGGCTGTGTCCGCCCAGCTCTTGGTGGAGGAGTTGCAGATCTTCGGCCTAGAATGCGAGGAGGCTGTGATTGAGAAATGTGAGTTCCTTGCCCCCTTGCTGGACTCCAGCCCAGGTCCACAACCCCCCCACCCCCCGCCCCGCTCCTTGCTCGATTCCTAGGTTCACCTCCCTAGATGGGGCTTGTTTGTGAGATGAGTGAAACTGAGTTTGAGACTTTGAAATGCTCACAGGGTACTGCTTGGATCCCAACTGAAAAAGAATGTGAAAAATGGTTTTCAGTCAGCGCAGTTGCACAGAATTTGAAGTACAACAGCAAAGAAAGAGATGTTGGGATTTTGAAATGTAGCTTTTTCTTCCTGGCTCCTCCCTTTCCAGCCTGCACCTAAACTTCTGCTGATCGATCACTTCTCATCAAAACTGTTGGTCTGTGCAAATATGAGTCCCTGACGTGGGTTCCTAAAATTGAATTTTAGCTTTGCAAGGAACTTTAAGGAGCTTGTCAGCTGTTGCTGACAAAGTTTACAGGTGGAGAAACCTATTGTTGTTTAGAGGCTAAGCGTGTCCAACTCTTTTACGACCCCATGGACTGTAGCCTGCTAGGCTCCTGTGTCCATGAGATTTTCCAGGCAAGATACTGGAGTGGGTTGCCATTTACTTTTTCAGGGGATCTTCCCGACCTAGGGATTGAACTCATGTCTGCTGCATTGCAGGCAGATTCTTTACCACTGAGCCACGGAGAAACAGATAAGGAGAGTTAATTGCCTGAGCTGGTCTGTGGACCAGATCTCCTGTGCCTGCGTCCAATGCTTCATTGTATTGGTGAGGCTCTAGGGCAGTGTCAGGAAGCAAACTGTTAGGAGGTGTGGAGTTCCTGGTTTTAGAATCAGGGTGATCATGCATCTACCTTTACCCTTCGTCAGCACAGTGAACTTCTTTTTTAATACATAAAACCAGAATGCAAATGTTAATTTATGAGAGACTGGAATACTCTAAATTTTTATCTCCAGGGCATTTTCTTCCTAACAGGAGACTTAAATGAGAAAACCAGTCATAGTCAGAAATTTATTTGGTGAGCCTAGAGTCAAAACAAGGAGAAATTAGTTTTGTGAACTAAGTTTTTAAAGGCTTCAATCCAAGATGCCTGCTGGTTTCATTTCACATAGAACTACGTTGGCAGTGATGTTGGAATTCTAGACTTGTACTTCATAATTGCTAACCTCACCTAGACCTTAATATTGCCTGACATATCATACCATATTTCCCTGATCACTCTGAGTCTCCTGTGGGAGACATTCATCACCTGTTCCTCCTCTGACAATCTTCTCTCCCACGCTCACTCTCAGCTGATGAACTTACTTTCTGTTTCGCTGAGAAAAATAGAAGGACCTGTGTCTATGCTATATTCCTTGCCTCCTCCCATTACAGTGAATAAATTCTCCTTATTTCCAGCAAAAGCCACACGTTCCACTTGAGTCCTGAATCCCATTCCTTCTGTCCTCCTTAGGGACATCACTCCAGTAATTCTTCCCTTTCTTATTTTCTATTTTCTCTCCATAAGATATTTTTTCCTAGTAGCCTAGGAGTGTGATTCTTACCCCAACCTTTAAATACTCCATTGTTGCCCCGTCCCACTCCAGTTATCTTCTCCCAGTTAGAACAAATCTTCTCAGAAGGATGGCCTCTTCTTCAGATTTTTCCTCGTTAAGCCCGTTTCAGTCAGCTTTTTCATCCCCATCTCTTCACTGAAACTGCTCCTCCCAAGGTCACCAACGACCTTCCCCTGGCCAAAGCCACAGATGCATTTTTCAGTCCCCCTCTGAATGAGCAGCAGCATTTGATGCCATTCATCAGGTCCTCTTCTAAGGGTCCTCTGCTAAAATGCATTTTCCTCGTAGCTGCTTGGACACTCCTCCTGGGTGTTCTAATGTGTGTGTCACCACCTTTCAGCCTTTACAGATTCCTCTGTATCCTGAGCCCCAAGATACATGCAGCTCTTTGGTGATCTCACCTGGTCTCATGTGTTTGCTGGTGGTCCCCAAATTTATAACTCAGCCCAGGCCTTTTGCCTGATCTGCAGGCCAGTCTGCCTCCCACACATCTCCGCTGAAAGTATGATTGGCATCTCAACCTCAGGTGTCTGAAGCTAAGCTCCTGTTCCCTCTCCTCAGAGTTCCTCCTGCTGCCTCCCCACCTCAGTTAATAGTAAGTGCCCCCTTCTAGATGCTCAGGCTAAACTCACAGCATCATCCTTCATGGCTTTCTCTCTTCACACCCCACATCCGGTCAACAAATCCCAGTGGCTCTACCTTCCGGATATTTCCAGTCTAGAGTCCAACCACTTCTCCCCTCTACTGACACCGCCTTGACCCAGCAACCGTCATCTCTCACCATGGATTTGGCCATGGTTCTCTTCACTGGTCCCCCTGATTCTGCCCTCATCCCCTTCAGTCTGTTAACACAGCAGCCAGGGGGACCCTGTTCAGTGGAAGTCAGGTTGTGTTACTGTTCTGTTCAAACCATCTAGTGATTCTCAGCTTTCTCAGAATAATTACAGGGGTCAACAGTCTGCACCCCCTTTACCCTTTCAGCTTGTCTCTGTCTCCTGCTTCCTCTCTGCATTCCAGCTGTGGAGGTCTTGCTGCTCTTGCTTCTCCCTCAGGATCCTTGCCTGAAAGCCCTTCCCCCTCAACCGTATTGAGGAGTGTGTGCCTTAGAATCAGACCTGGATTCCAATCCCAGCATGAGCTTGGGCCAGCTCCTAAATGGCTCCTAACCTCAGCTTCCTCTTCAGTCAGTGGTTCCCGTGACCCGTGGTTTTTATGGTTGTTGAATGACTTGAGAATGGCTGTAAATCCCTCCTAAAACTATGCTCAACAGGTGGTAGTTCTTCAGCAAATAATTGGTGTTAATATTAGAATTGTTATGTGTTGGAGAGAAACAGTGACAGTTTAAGTCTTTAGTCTATCATGTACATCTTTATTCTTCCTTTGAGGAATTTTATACCTTCGATTATATTTCAAATGCACAGTATTATTTCATGACTGTGGGAAACACGTCCTCTATTACTTGACTATGGAATAATATATTCATTATCTTTTCTTCCTCAGTTTCTGAGCAAAAGATTATCCAAAACCCGGCATGGTGCCTCCAAGAACAAAGTGCACGGCCATGCAGGAGCCAGAGACATTGTTTCCATACAAGAGCTGTATCCTTTTCTGCTCCAGGCCCTTGTATCAAACTACATATTGTATTTTATCATTTGTCTGTAGTTGCATGTGTAAGTTAAGAACAAGTAATAAGGGATTTCCCTGATGGTCCAGTGGTTAAGTGCATTGGGTCCAAGTTCCCAGTGCAGGGGACATGGATTCCATCTCTGGTCAGGAAACTAAAATCTGGCATGCCACATGACATGGCCTAAAAAGAAATTTTTAAAAAATAAATAAGTAATTTTTTTGAAAACCACAAAAAAACATGAGAACAAACTCAAATTAAAAAAAAAAAAACAAGTACTATACCTAATATTCAGATTTCTTATTTGATCAATCCTTGCCTTAGATTTTGGGTGGAAGTTTATTGTTTCTCTTAACCAAGGTTTTTAGAATTGAAGAGGAAGAGGAAGAGGAGACCCTCTTGAACTCTTACACCACACCCTCTAAGGTGCGTGCACCCTGTTTGGAAATTGCATTCTAAGCGTAGCAATTTTTTTCTTTATTCTAAAAATATCAGCACAGCATCTAAAGTTCTGAAGGAGAAAATTAGCCACTCATACAGTTCCTACTCTATTTCCACATATGCATCTTCCTTTCCAATCATGTGCGTAGATGATTTTACATGATGGCAGTCCTTGTAGACACATAGTTATCCTGCTTTCTTCAGTTAGCATATCATAAAATTTTTATCAATGTAATTTCTCCATAATTGCTCTTTTTTAATGGGTGTCTAGTTTTGTATCAAGTAGAGGCACTATAACTATTGCTTATCCAGTTTAGGTGTTGGACCCAAGGGTAAGAGGTGGAGTAGGGCAGTGGAAAGGCACTGTCCTCAAAGCCTGAGTCAAAGACCTAAGTGACCTTGAGTGAGTTGCTTTTATCTCTCTGAGCTGCCATTTCCTCTCCTGCATAGTCAGGGTTCATTCATTTACTTACTGAGCAACTACTGTGTGCCAGACACTGGATGAACTGGTGAATGAAACAGGCAAGCTTGTGCTCTGCCCTCAAGAAGCCGATAGCCAGCAGATAATACCCCGTGATATTATCTTGAATAATATCTTGAGGGGCTTGAAAACTAAATGAACATGTAAAGTGCCAAACCCAAAACAATGTATTCGGTAATCATAGTTAGTCTTTATAGAAAATGAATTTGTGGCAATCCTCAAACAAGGAGCAAGCCTTAATCTGTCAAAGTAAATTACTCTGTAAGAAAAAAGATGATTAGGGAATTCCCTGGCAAGAACTCGGTGCTCTCACTGCCAGGGCCCTGGGTTCAGTCTCTGATCTGGGAACTAAGGTCCCACAAGCCACGCTGCATGGTCCCCCACCCAAAAAAAAGAAGGAAGGAAAGGTGAGTCATTTAAATGTGCCTGTGGAGAATAAGAAAGCTAAAATGTTCACAGCATCAGAGTTGTTCATATTTGAGAGGACTGACTCGTGGTAACTCAGGTCTCAGTAGACTGTCGCATAAATCAGATGCACATTACTTAATTTACTGTTGAAGTACACACCTTTCTGATGGCTGAAATACCATATTGAGGACACCCCATTCCTGCTACAAAAGTACTCAGGAGGCTCAATCACAGATCAAAGTTTGGCCATGAAATCATAGCTAAGAGATGAGCTGAAATGAATGAACAATTTGAAATATGCATCTGAAGCTCAGAGGAGAGGCAGACTGGATCTGGGGTAGAAACAGGAGAAAGGCTTAGACAGTGCCCAGCACGTGGGAACTGGGGCATCAGCGCAGCACGGTGACAGGATCAGAGCCCAGGGCTGGCCTTTCCCACCCAAACCGGTGCCAGGGGCAGGAGAGCCCATGTTGCAGAGGTGAGTATGTCAGTGGTCTGAGCTTGTCACCGTTAAATATTTAACTTGTACAACGACAACTACTCTTTTTTAATTTTTAAATATTTGTTTATTTCTTTGACTGCCAGTTCTTAGCTGCAGCATGTAGGATCTAGTTCCCTGACCAGGGATTGAACCCAGGCTCCCCTCCATTGGGAGTGCAGAGTCTTAGCCACTGGACCACCAGGGAAGTCCCACCAGCTACTCTTTCGCCCCTATGCTCACCATAAACCTTCTGGTTGTAGTCTGGCTCTCCACGTGTCCTGCCTGACAGGGAGAGATGTGTCAGTCTGGGGATTTGAAGTTCCCATGCTGCTGGCATCACGTTTCTAGTAAGTGAATAATCTGGCTATAATTTGGGTTCCTGTGTGCTGTGAGGATGTGTTCCCCCCAGGCTATGAGACTGTAGTCCCTCTGTATTTCTCATTATGGGTGGATAAACCGGCCCGTAGTGTTAGCAGTGAGTCTCCTGAGCTTGCTTCAAGTGAGCACACCCCAGGAACATCTCGAGCTGGTTTGCTGACACAGTCAGGTTTCACCACGTGGCTAAGGGTTGAGCTCTTTGCTTCATCCTGGGAGATGAACCTGGAGCTCTGTAGCCCCCTATATATTAGAAGGGTCTTCAGGAAAAATAGTTTGAGAAAAACCTATTAAAATCATAAAATTTTTGCCATCGTTTGGCCCAGTAATCTCTCCTACTCAGAATCTCTCATAAGAAATCATCCAAATTCCAGGAAAAGCTACGTGTGTGATAGTGAGCACCTCAGTATTTGTTGTCTCCAGAAACCAATACACCCAACAGTAGAGAAGTAGTTACGTAAACTATTATATATCAATTCCATCAACACAGCTACCAGAAAGGATGAAGACTGACAATGTGGGAGAAATGCTCAGAATTAATATAGACCAAAAAACTCAGTATTTACAATACTTCAATGAAGGATCATATTCAAACTAAGATTATAACTATTAGAATTTTTTCAATTGGAAAAATATTGAAATACTAGAAATCAGTATTTTTAAATGACTATTATATAAGTGTAGTGCATAAGGAAGGGTCCTTTTAAAATCTAGCTTCCATTCCAGCCGCTTAAGGGTGGTTTCGAATCCTGCTTTCTCTCTCCTTGCCTATCCGTAATCATCCCTGTAGGCAGCTTTGGTGCCATAACCTAAACCCGCAGCCAGGAGGAGCCCAAGGGCAGGGGAACGCCAGCCAACTCGCTGGCTGCCTGGTTTCCCTCCAGCCGAGGATTTTGTCTTTGCTCAGCCATAGTCCGTTGTCCCAGACTCTGGGGGGCAAGGGATCTCGGGATTTGCCGGTTTCACCCTCCACTCCAGGCATCTCTTTGGATTCTTGTTGATGAGCAAAACCACCCAGAAAACAAAACTGACCATCAGCGAGGCGTGTGCTAAATACTCTCCAAGTATGAGCTCACCCGTGTTATCTGCCTGGAGTCACTCCCTTCTTTAATTCTGAAAATGTGTGGTAGACTTTGCCAGAATAAATAGTAACATGGTCCCATCCCCTGACAGGAAAATGTGTCCGTGCAGGTTAAAACTGTGTGTGTAGCCAAACTCTGAGCTGCGGTAAAGCAGAGGGGTAGAGAAGGAAAGTGAACACACGAGCAATTTGACAGGACAGATCGCCTACTTGGCAGTCCTTTCGGGGGATGTTGTTGGCATTTTTTTCATAGTTGCCTCCAAAATGGAGACAGTGTACTGATGAGGACTGTATTACAATTGCTGAAGTCTGAGATTCTGCTTGAAAGATGGGGCCTTCAGAAGAAAACCAGCTCTATGCGGTCTGTGCCCTTCATTCGGGCACATCCTCCCTTTCTTCCTAAGGATCTGCACACTTCACTAGCAAGCCCTGGGTCTAGAGTGACTGGGCCCTTCTCCTGTTTTGCTTCTAGGGTTCTCAGAAGCGAACTGTCACCACCCCAGAAACCCCCCTCACAAAAAGGAGTGTGTCTGCTCGGAGCCCCCATCAGCTCCTCTCACCGTCGAGTTTCTCTCCAAGGTATGGATCCTGATGACTCAGCTGCCAGGCAGCAGGCCTCCCCTCCCCTCTCTGGTTACCTGGTGGAGGCTGACACTACAACCTGACTTAAGGAATAGGGGTGGATGTTTCCCTCTGCAATCGACTGGCTGGAAGGCCGACTGCTCCCTACCTTCCCCACCCTCATCCTGTGTGGAAAATTACTGTTTAACAGTAGTTAAGGAAACTCACTTTCCACCCTCTTTTCTGGGGCTCATTTCCTAGATCAGGAGCTGATATCTCCTACTGAAAACAACCTGTCTATTCAGAAGTCAGGGAGGCCTGCGAGTCTCTTGCCAGTAGGAGGCAAATAGGTTTCCACCTGCTTCTGTTAGTTCATGTGTTGTTGGGTTTCTTTCTTTCTTCTTTTTTTTAGGTATTTATTTTTAAAAAAGAAAAGCCCATATCTTTGTTCATAATGTTGCGTAACCTGTTCTTTGTTCCTCACTCAGGTTACAACTAGTTGCTGAGAGTTTTCTTGTCCCTGAACCTACCCCAACTTCATTGGTATTTTATCCCTGCTGCCACTTCTGCACATAAATCCACAGGGATCACGTGTGGCTTTTGGAAATCCATAAATGACATGTGTTCTGTGAGAGAATTCTGTCATGAGAGCTCTGCTGAGGAGAAGAAAGGGCTCTAGGTGCTGCCGCATCGGGATGGGGCAAAGGAACAGTGATGTTCACCAGTTAGGGCGACACTGGCTGCCGGGAGTCACTTCTAGAACAAGCAGAACTTAAGACTTGCCAGCCTAAGACTTTCTGTCACATCAGAAAGGAGGTGATAGGGACATCCCTGGGAGTCTAGTGGTTAGAACTTGGCACTTTCACTGCCGTAGTCCCAGGTTTGATTCCTGTCAGGGAAGCAAGGGATCTCGGGATTTGCCGGTTTCACCCTCCACTCCAGGCATCTCTTTGGATTCTTGTTGATGAGCAAAACCACCCAGAAAACAAAACTGACCATCAGCGAGGCGTGTGCTAAATACTCTCCAAGTATGAGCTCACCCGTGTTATCTGCCTGGAGTCACTCCCTTCTTTAATTCTGAAAATGTGTGGTAGACTTTGCCAGAATAAATAGTAACATGGTCCCATCCCCTGACAGGAAAATGTGTCCGTGCAGGTTAAAACTGTATGTGTAGCCAAACTCTGAGCTGCGGTAAAGCAGAGGGGTAGAGAAGGAAAGTGAACACACGAGCAATTTGACAGGACAGATCGCCTACTTGGCAGTCCTTTCGGGGGATGTTGTTGGCATTTTTTTCATAGTTGCCTCCAAAATGGAGACAGTGTACTGATGAGGACTGTATTACAATTGCTGAAGTCTGAGATTCTGCTTGAAAGATGGGGCCTTCAGAAGAAAACCAGCTCTATGCGGTCTGTGCCCTTCATTCGGGCACATCCTCCCTTTCTTCCTAAGGATCTGCACACTTCACTAGCAAGCCCTGGGTCTAGAGTGACTGGGCCCTTCTCCTGTTTTGCTTCTAGGGTTCTCAGAAGCGAACTGTCACCACCCCAGAAACCCCCCTCACAAAAAGGAGTGTGTCTGCTCGGAGCCCCCATCAGCTCCTCTCACCGTCGAGTTTCTCTCCAAGGTATGGATCCTGATGACTCAGCTGCCAGGCAGCAGGCCTCCCCTCCCCTCTCTGGTTACCTGGTGGAGGCTGACACTACAACCTGACTTAAGGAATAGGGGTGGATGTTTCCCTCTGCAATCGACTGGCTGGAAGGCCGACTGCTCCCTACCTTCCCCACCCTCATCCTGTGTGGAAAATTACTGTTTAACAGTAGTTAAGGAAACTCACTTTCCACCCTCTTTTCTGGGGCTCATTTCCTAGATCAGGAGCTGATATCTCCTACTGAAAACAACCTGTCTATTCAGAAGTCAGGGAGGCCTGCGAGTCTCTTGCCAGTAGGAGGCAAATAGGTTTCCACCTGCTTCTGTTAGTTCATGTGTTGTTGGGTTTCTTTCTTTCTTCTTTTTTTTAGGTATTTATTTTTAAAAAAGAAAAGCCCATATCTTTGTTCATAATGTTGCGTAACCTGTTCTTTGTTCCTCACTCAGGTTACAACTAGTTGCTGAGAGTTTTCTTGTCCCTGAACCTACCCCAACTTCATTGGTATTTTATCCCTGCTGCCACTTCTGCACATAAATCCACAGGGATCACGTGTGGCTTTTGGAAATCCATAAATGACATGTGTTCTGTGAGAGAATTCTGTCATGAGAGCTCTGCTGAGGAGAAGAAAGGGCTCTAGGTGCTGCCGCATCGGGATGGGGCAAAGGAACAGTGATGTTCACCAGTTAGGGCGACACTGGCTGCCGGGAGTCACTTCTAGAACAAGCAGAACTTAAGACTTGCCAGCCTAAGACTTTCTGTCACATCAGAAAGGAGGTGATAGGGACATCCCTGGGAGTCTAGTGGTTAGAACTTGGCACTTTCACTGCCGTAGTCCCAGGTTTGATTCCTGTCAGGGACTAAGATCCCACAAGCCACTTGGCAGGGCCAGAAAACACAAAAGAAAAAAAAGAAAGGGAGCGATAACATTTTTCAAGGTCAGAGGGGGTCAGATTCTTCTTTTTTTCCTTAATATTTTTTAAAATTTATTTGGCTCTGCCTAGTCTTAGCTGTGGCACGTGGAATCTTTAATTGTGGCATGTGGGCTCTTGGTTGTAGCCTACAGGATCTAGTTCCCCGACCAGAGGTTGAGCTCTGGGCCCCCCGCATTGGGAGCACAGTCTTAGGCCCTGGACCACCAGGGAAGTCCCCTGAAAGGTAGTTGGATCCCGAGGGCGGATTTGACTTTAGTGTGGCCCACTCGTGCTTTCAGGAGTTTTCACCCTGGCTTCCGAATAGAACTTTCTGTATTTAGAAGGGCATCTTTGGATGCACAGAGATGGCTGGTTACAGAGTGGTTCTCGTAGGTGCCAGCACCATGGCAGCAGTTCTATTCTTTCAACAAGCAAGACTTTGAAACTTGTAGATCTGTTTGCAGTGGACCCCATGTGAGCATCTCCCTGGGTTAAAGGACCGGCTATAATGTGCGCCTCACAGAGCTTCGCAGGGAGGAGCTTGGCGCAGTCGAGATGCGCTGCCTAGTCATTCTTTAATGCACACTAGTAAAGCTGACATCAGAAACTGGGTTCGTAATTTATGAAAGTAACTTCTAAATTATTCAGGTGGAGGCAGCACTGGAGACAGGTAATTAGTCCAGCTCGTTTTCTGTAGCCTCTCTGGAAGGGAGGACCTGGCAGCACCCACTGTAACTGCCCACGGAGAACTGGTTCCTGCAGGGTTTCAAGGCGTTAAATGAAGCCTGTGGTAACCAGGCCTCTCGGTGCACTGTGCTCACAACCAAAGGCTTAGAAGACCTCGCTGTCCTCTAAGCAGATCAGCCACACTCGTGTGTCCCTGGAGGTGGAATTTATCAGCGAGTGAGGAGAAATACGAGAACTTGCTGGTTGAGACTTGGAGAATGGGAGTGTTTGTTCACTAGCTGACAGAATTCATTACCTGTCCACCTCCAGAAACACTGGGGAAAGCTGATTCCCTTTCATTTAACTTCATTTTGTTACTGTTTCTACCTTGAACTATATCATGAGGTGTTATGTGTACACAGAGCAACTTTTGGCTTATCCACATTTCCAGGCTTTGATAATATTTTAACAAATGCTAAGAATTCATAAGAAAGAAAATGGTACTCGAAACTGGCTCTTTAATCAATTCAGACTTTGGATTTTGTTTCACTTTGTTAGTTTTCATCCAGGAGAAGACCTTTTAAACTGCGTCTCTGTGTCTAAGCTTTTCTAAACACGTTTGGTATTCCTCAACCCCCCCCTCATTCCTGAAATTCCTTAAAGGTCCAGAATGTCCAACCCCATTAAGCTGATTAGATTTATAAAATGTGAGGCCAGGCTGGCATGCCTCCAATCCCAAATTTTCAAGAGGTAACCTCATCTTAGACTCCTCTCTCTTTTTAGATATGAATGCGGTAATGTTGATGTCTTTTGCTTCCAATCAGTGCTACTCCCCCTCAGAAATACAGCTCGAGAAGTAACCGGGGAGAAGTGGTCACCTCCTTTGGCTCGGCGCAGGGGGTATCTTGGTCCGGGAGAGGAGGAACTAGTCACCTCAGCCTGAAGGTCTTGGGACATCCAGAGCCACTCACCGGGAGCTACAAATGCATGTTTCAGAAGCTCCCAGACATTCGAGAAGGTATTTGTTTTTCCCTTTGACATTCTGTAGGGTATAAAACCACCTGGAAGGATTTGAATCAGTAACAAAGCATCAGCTAGGCTGGTAGAACAAGTTCAAGGTTGCCTTTGATTGATAGATGTTGTCTGGGCACCCCTATTAGGAAACGGATATGAGATGACCACTCTCAATAATTCTCCCAAATCACAATCACTTTGCTAAGAAAAAGCACATAACCATTTCCCAGTAACAACCACTTGAACTGTATAAAGGAAGCCAATTATAGTGTTAAAGGAAGCGGAGACATTTATGGCTTCTTCCTTGGAAAGACTAGAAGGCTCTTCAGGTTGTTCTTGGCTTCCCTGAAACCCCTCTGACCACCTGAGTAAGGGGGAGGCTGGGGAGGGAGCCAGGCCGACTTTGGGACTGTGACCTCATCCGTGACCCCCTTCCTCCCCCTGCCATGGCCAAATGGAAGGCCGGGTTCAGCAACCAAGTATTGGGCAATTGGCTCGGGCTTGAGAAAGTTACCAACTGTCCAGTGTCCTGGGCACCCTGCCTGCTTCTATAAAATGACTGACTAATGTTTTACAACGTGATGTGTTTTCTCTGCTTGGCAAGTAAAATGTCTTAAACATGCTTTTCCCCTCTGGGTTTTCAGTTCTGACCTGTAAGATAGAAGAACTTGGCAGTGAACTCAAGGAACATTACAAGATTGAGGCTTTTGCTCCCATTCTAGTCCCAGCACAGGTAAGAGTTGTTCTAATAGTCTTTCCTGATTGATATTGTTTTTTTTAATCAATGATGAAAAGTCAACCTCCTGCTTCCTTTCACTGACTGTCTACCTTCTAGTTAGATGAACTATCTTGGATGAACTTGGTAAAATGGGTTATAAGTGCTTTCTGGTTTTGTGACCAGATTAAGTCGTTTTCTTTGCACTTGGGTTAGAGTCTTGCATGTAAACAAGATTGAGGGCCTTAAGCATTCAAGTGTCAGGATATGAGAACAACAGCAAGGTGAAGATTTCCAGAAACAGTGACTCATGGTCTCTCCCCTTCTTTGGTCTCTGTCATCAGGGATCAAGTGCTGTGAATAGTGTCCACGTCAATAGTTTAATCTGGCATGTGTATGGTGCTTTCTCTCTAGAACGTACTTTAAGGGGAGCTGTGTTCTCAGAGTTTCTTTATGGTGCCTCTGTCACATATTTGCATTCAGAGGAGAATGGCCAGCTGGCGAAGATATGCAAAGCCATGTCATATAAGGAAGATTTGGGGGAGTTGGGAGGAAGTAGTGGAGGGGAGACTGGGTTATAGGATCTCATGGGGAAAGATTAGACTTCCTCGGTTTGCCCCCGGGAGTGAGAACCGGATAGAGGAAGCCACCGAGAGAGGAATTTCAGCTCAGTTTAATGAAGAACTTCCTGTTAGAAGGCAGTATGGTGAGTGTTTAAAGGATATGGCCCTGGAGCCAAACATCTGGCCTTCAAACCCACACTTTGCCCACTGTTTGACCTTGGTTAAATTATCTAACCTTTCTGCTGCTGGTTTTTCTCATCTCTAACATGGATGCAATAATAATATCCACCTCACGGTTTTTGTGAGAATTAAGTGAGTTGATACACATAAGCCTTTAGAACAGTGCCTGGTGTTTAGTGAGCCCAGTAAACCAGAGCTTTTGTTAACAGTTATTCAGGAGATATGTGAAGAAGGAAATGGCAACCCACTCCAGTATTCTTGCCTGGAAAAGCCCATGGATGGAGGAGCCTGGCGGGCTGCAGTCCATGGGTTTACATGACTGAGCACGCATGCATGAGGAAGGTCGAGGGAGATGGATGGGTTGGTAGCAATAAACTTAAAAAAAGAGAGAGAGAGATGCGGTAAGTAGGTTGGTGGCGAGGGGGTGGGCTCAGGGGCAAGTTCCCCTTCACTGGAGATGCTGTGGCTCAGACAGCCACTTAGAGGGGCTGAGGCATTAGATGGTGGGCAGGCTAGATGCCCTTTAAGGGTCCTTTCAGCCCTGGGAGCCAGTGATGATACACCCCTAGGAGCCTAGTGGTCACCTCAGGCTCAAAGTGATGCCCCACCAAAGACACGTATGCTGTTGTTGGAGGTCTGTTTTGCTCTCCGTCGCGCGGACCAAATTTTAAGCTCCTGTGTCCCAAAGACTGTTGTTCTCCTGTGTATCTCGGTAGGAGCCTGTTACCCTGCTGGGCCAGATTGGCTGTGACAGCAATGGGAAGCTGAACCACAAGTCGGTGATTCTGGAGGGAGATCTGGAACATTCCTCAGGCGCTCAGATTCCAGTGGATCTATCTGAGCTCAAAGAATATTCTCTATTTCCTGGACAGGTGAGATCAGGGGTGTGACTTGCCTCTGGGTGCGGCTATGCTATTTGCTCCTGGTGTGTGTAGTGGACTGTGGCCAACTGCCCTGCACTTTTGACCTCTGATGCCAAGAGGTGTAACTGGAGCTCAGGCACCAGAGCAGATGCCAGTATGGGGGTTCCGATCCCCTGTGTGCTCCAACCTTAGCTCTGGGATCCGCGGCTAGGTTTCAACCCCAGCTCCACCCTGCAGGGCGGATGAGTATGGCGATGTTACTTAACCTCCCAAACCCAGAGTGTCCTGATCTGTGAAATGGGAATGATAATTCTCACCTTATAGGAATGTTGTAAAAATGAGATTACCGTGTAAACATAATTATTATTACACTAATATAACCCCCTCCCTTTGTTTTCTAGAAAAACACCCCCAAGTTTACAATTACAGGATGAGAGTAGCTGGACAGTACTTGTAACTCTATCACAGTAACTTATTCCAGACCTCCTGTTGATCAAGTCTGTCTGCTGCCTGCCTTTCAGGTGGTGGTCATGGAAGGAATCAACACCACAGGTAGAAAACTTGTTGCCACCAGACTCTACGAGGTACAGTGTGTGGGCTTCTGTCCATCCTGAAACTCGTCCTCTGTAAGGGCCTGTTGATTCGCTTCTCAATTCTCTGTAGAGTTCGACCTACCTCTAGGTCAGGGCTTAGCAAACTGCTCCACTAAAGGGCCAGACAATACATATTCCAGACTCCACAGACCTGGTCTTCATACAATGTCGACTCTGCCATTGTAGCACAAAAGCAGCCACGATCAGCCCATTATCCAAAGAGCACGGCTGTATGCCAGTGAAAGTTTACTTACAGCAATAGGCGGTAGCCAGATTCGCCCTTAGCTTAGCAGCCCCTGCTCCTGCAGTAATCCTCTGCAGGCTTCCAGGGGACACGGAAGAAGTAGCAGCACCTGTCCTCCCAGGCAGGACACCGACCCGTTTTGCTCCTGCTCTTTCCTGGATGTTTTTTTGAGTTTAGCCGTAACCTCATGCTACCAGGTGTCTTGCCCACTCTGAGCAGTAAAGAAAAAGGGAAGGGTCATCAACGCTGTGGTCTTACCTGGTAGCACAGCTTAGTAAAGAGTCCACTTGCAATGCAGGAGACCCCAGTTCAATGCCTGGGTCGGGAAGATCCGCTGGAGAAGGGATAGGCTACCCATTCTAGTATTCTTGGACTTAACTGGTGGCTCAGGTGATAAAGAATCCACCTGCAGTGCTGGATACCTGGGTTCGATCCCTGGGTTGGGAAGATCCCCTAGAGAAGGGAAAGGCTACCCACTCCAGTATTCAGGTCTGGAGAATTCCATGGACTTTGTAGTCCATGGGGTCTCAGAGTCAGACACGACTGAGCAACTTTCACTTTCATCAACTCTGTGGGCTTTTAGCTCCAAGGAGCAAGACACCCACAAACATGCTCCCATTTAGTGCCCACCCTGTTCCTGACCAGAGGCGGTGCCTGGGGCAAGACCTCACCACAGTTTTCTCTCCTGTTTGAAGGGTGTGCCACTTCCGTTCCATCAGCCCGATGAAGAGGATGGAGGTGAGCTAGACTTCCGAGGGTATTTTGCCAACAGTACGGGTGGAGAGGAGTGGGCCAGGGTCTGGAACACAGTTCCTCTGGCCCTGGGAAAGCTTCAGAAGCTGTGAGAGCACCGTTCTGGAGCTCCAAGGGCGACCACAGATTCATGGGTTCACCGGCCCTTTGTGGAAAGCCAGGGGTCTGAGCATATGTGGCTTGGTCAGCCTTACTTCCTGTGCTCTGATTCCACAAGAGCTGTCATTTCAAGACTAATGTTTAACAGGTGTTTGAAGGTTGCTTTGAAAAAGAAAAAAAACAGTGGAATTCCCTGGCCATCCAGTGGTTAGGACCCCAAGCTCCCAATGCAGGGGCACAGGTTCCATTCCTGGTTGGGAAAGATCTTGCATGCCGTGTGGCCAAAAAAAGAAAGAGAAGGGGGAAGAAAAGGAGAAAAAAGAAAAGGGTAAAGAGCACCAATTTAAAAAAAAATTCCTTTAAATGCCATGTGATATCCTGGACAAGGAAAGGGGACATTAGTGGAAAAACCAGTGACATTTAAATAAAGTCATGAGCTAACAGTAACATACCAGTATTAATTCCTTCATTTTGATGAATGTACCCTAGTTATGTAAGATGTTAGCATTAGCGGTTGCTGGGTGAAAGGTGTACACACCGGAACTCTGGACTCTGTTTGGGACATTTCTACAATTCTAAAGTTATTACAAAAAAAGAAAAACTGTATTTAAAAATTAGACACATTTCTCAGGAAGCCTAGAGTTACTTGGTAGCTAACCTAGATGAGAAAAGAACATTTCAGTAAACTTGGCTTCAGAACAATTCCAAGCATTTTTGTAAGCAGAGCAGTAGACTTGAGGATTAGCAGGGAGATAGCTGATGCTAGCTGTATTGTCAACATCCCCTCCACGCTAATATTGTGTGAGGTCATTCTTAGAGGCGGCCTGGAATTGGGAGCAAAATTTAGGAGTTTATGACATTGCACATTCTCTCAGGAAGTAAGTGTTTATGGAAGCTAGAGTGCTGGTATTGAATCAAGTTCAGGTAACAAAGGGAACAGACAGGGCTGAACTGCCCGGAACTGGAGCTGTGCCAGGGGAATCTTTGGAAGCAATTGAATAAGTTGGTTTTATTTTGTTAATAGTTATTTTTATTTATTTATTTGGCTCCATTGGGTCTGCATTGTGGCATGCAGACTCTAGTTCCCTGACCAGGGATCGAACCTGGACTTCCTGCACTGGGAGTGCAGAATCTTAGCTGCTGGAAGTCCCTGAAAAAGTTGTTAATAGACATTTTGTGAGCAAGGTGTTGGGCTCAACACCTGGGTGTGGAGACACAGAATACAACATGGACCTGGCCCCCAGGCACTCACCGTTTACCTGGGGCCGGCGTCCCCTCCCCTCTTCACAGCACCGGTATTACTCTTCTCCTTGAATTCTCTCTCGGTTCAGTCACTGCACGCTCGACAAACAGTGGCCCTCATTCTGGAATATATTCCTGAACATATTACTTTATATGGCAAAAGGGACTTTGCAGGTGTGACCGAGTTAAGGCTCTGGAGATGGGGATTGTCTAGGTGGGCTCAGGGTAAAGCAAGGGTCCTTATAAGGAAGGGTGGGAGGGGGCGGGTCACAGAGATCTGGCAGGTCAGGTTCTGGCTTTGAAGGTGGAGGAGGGGCCCAGGGCCAAGGATGCAGGCGGCCTCTGGAAGCTGGAAGGGGTCAGGAAATGATTCTTCCCAGAGCCTCCAGAAGGAATGCTGCCCTGCCCACGCCTTGATTTTAGGACCTCCGACCTCTTGGACTGTAAGATAATAAGTGCGTATTGTTTTAAAAGCCACCAAGTTTGTGATTGTTATCAAAACCATAGGAGGCTAATAAAGCTGCCTGTTAAGAAGTCAAGGATCATTGGATTTGTTGTTGTAAGCTACAGAACCTGGTTCAAACTAACTTAAGAGAAATTTGTTAGGGGAAATCCAGGACAAGTGGCTGGAAAAGGCTTATAGCCCGGATCACGGCTCAGTAACGCCAGGTGTCTAGGTAGCAAAGAGTCCTGGGCTGTATTGACCAGGCACCTCAGCTGGATGGGTCAGCGCCAGTCTTTTTTCTGTCCTTGGATAGTTCACCTTGAGATTCTGAAATCCAGGGGAGAGAGTGAATGGCTTAAGCCGGTCTGAGCCTGCTCTTTGGCTGGGGAGGAAGGTGCACCTAATTTACATCTCCATAGGGCAGAGGGGGAGGGGACCTTATGGCCGCTAAGGCTGATTCTCCAAAAGGGAAGCAGATGCTTTGAGGAAAATGGCACCCCATACAAGGCCCTGCACCCCATAACACGAGAGTCTCCCGTCCCAAGCCTTGCCCCCAGCCTGTCTTCCTGGACCCCTAGATGTACCAAATTCTCCAGCTGCTCTCACCACTGATGATCTCTCCCACTGAGCTCTCAAACCTCAGTGCTGTTGGGGACCCCGCCTTCCCCTGGCTCCTGAAAAACTCTACCCTCAAGTGTAAGCAAAGTGACAAAAAGACAAATACCATATGATTCTCCTTAGATGAGGTTCCTAGAGGCATCAGAATAGAGGTGGTTGCCAGGGACTGCGGGAGGGGGAGCAGGGAGTTAGTGTTTAACGGGTACGGAGTTTGAGTTTTATGAGATGGAAAGAGGTGGAGATGGAAGGTGATGACAGCTGCACAACATTATGGATATATCTAATACCACTGAAATGTTGATTTAAACATGGTTATGATCAGGAGGAATTTCCCTGGTGGTCCAATGGTTAGACTCCGAGTTTTCACTGCTGAGGGCACAGGTTCAATCCCTGGTCAGGAAACTAAGATCCCTAAAACCACACAGCACTGCCCAGCCCCCCCCCCCCAAAAAAGTTATGTATTTTACCACCAAAAAAAGAAGTTAAGAGGAAAACCATGTAAGCAAATGCCACTTTGATCAATTCTCTCGTGACTCCCACTTTCCTCCCATCGTCCACGCACTGCTGGTAAATGTCTCTGGAGTTCTGGTTGCTTGCACACTTGCCTGTCTATGCAGCTCGTGGAGGGCTCTTTGAGGGCAGGGTGAGGTCTTATTCCTTTAGATTCCCAGAGTTGCACAGGTGAGACTCTTAACTGATTCCTGAGGCATCCTGCCCTCATTGTCCTTTCTCCCGCCATCCCAGCAGCTTCTCATCAACACTTTAACAATCCTTTCTGGCTTAGATTCTGAGCAGTTCATGGTCCTGGTGGCCTGTGGGCCGTACACCACATCTGACAGCATCACCTTTGACCCCCTGCTCGACCTGATCACCATCATCAACCGCGACCGACCGGACGTCTGCATCCTGGTAGGGCCCTTCCAAGGAGGACAGTTCACCTAGGGAGGCACCAAAGGGAGAACAGGGTGGGGGTGAGGGGTAATCTTGGAAAAAGGTCTGATGAGGTTCTAAATTTTTAGGAAGAGTGTCAAACTCTCTTCCTCCTTAAAAGTATTTTTGAGTTCCTGGTCTCCATCTTTGGTGAGGTGTGTGCGGTTTTTGTTTGTTTTAATATTTATTTATTTGGCTGCATCAGGTCTTAGTTGTGGTGCATGGGGTCTTTGATCTTTGTTGCAGCATGCAAGATCTTTAGCTGTGGCGTGTGAGACCTGGTTCCCTGATAGGGATAGAACTCGGGCCCCTTGCATTGGGAGCAGTCTTAGCCACTGGCCCACCAGGGAGGTCCCTTTGTGTGCGTGGTCTTAATCAAAAAGCCCAAGGTGTTTTGCCACCTGCATTGATTTTTCAGTATTTCACCTCTTATCTAATTACTCCCATTTGTGAACTCATCTCTTTTGAAAGCTCAGAGTACTGCTTCATAGAGGTAGATTGCCCTTGCTGGGTTGAAGGGGGAACAAAAGCCCAGTATTATAGTAGGCAAAGCAGCTAGTGACAGGCCCAGTAGGCCTCTCCATCCAGGAGGTTGTGTCCTTCTGCCTGTGATACTGGCTGGGCACCATCCCACCCCCACCCACCTGCCCCCTGTCCCCAGCTGTACAGGCAGCCTTGGAGGGAGAGATGGACCCTGGGCAGGGAACTGCTAGGATCGGGTATGTGAGGGTGCTCAGAGGCACGTGCAATTCTGATGTGTTCTTTTGGTACCTTCGTTTCTCCGCTTCGGGCTGATCTGCAGTTTGGACCTTTCCTGGATGCTAAGCATGAACAGATTGAGGTAAGTGGCTGGGACTGGAGTCAGGGAGAGACTGAATATTCGCATTCAGTCAAGGCCTGTTACTTTCACCTCTTGGAGTTTATCCTGCTTCTATAACAGCCTAAATGAATCCCTGTGGCTGATCAGAAAAACATTATTGCAGGGCAAGTTTAATAAAGGTACGGAATGGGAGGGCTTCATTTCACCAGAATACAGAGCCATCTGGAAGCTGGGGTGGGTGGGGGAGGGGATCCAAATATCTGAGTCCTGGTCCCCCTGGCGTAGGAGGGTGGGGGAGGTGCCCATGGTCCTGGAGCTGTGCCTGTGAAAGCCCCTTCCCGGCTGCGACAGCTCGGGGCCCTGAGTGTCACTGTCCTTTGAACTTAAAACACAAATGGCCCTTCTGGAGACAGCGCCTCCTTTTGTCTCAGGAGGGGTTTTTTTGTTTCGTTTTTTTAATTTTCGACTGCGGGGTCTTTGTTGCAGTGCGACCTTTTCTTTAGTTGGGGCAAGCAGGTGCTACTCTTCAGTTTCGGTGTGCAGGCGTCTCATTGCCGTGGCTCCTCTTGTTGTGGAGCACGGGCCCTGGGCCTGCAGGCTTCAGTGGTTGCAGCACACGGGCTCGGTTGTTGCAGCTCCTCGACTCCAGAAGCACAGGCTCAGTAGTTGTGGCACACGGGCTCAGCTGCTCCTCAGCATGTGGGATCTTCCCAGACCTAGGATTTAACCCGTGTCTGCTGCACTGGCAGATGAATTCTTTACCGCTGAGCCAGCAGGGAAGCCCTCTCAGGAGGTTTACCAGCCACAGCAAAGGCTTCAAAGCTCTTTTCTTCCTACTTATCTCCTCGGCTCACTTTCAGGACTGATTCTTCCCCGACCTCCTTGCCTGCTCCCAACTAGACTCGGCTCTCAAAAGGACGGAGACCCTTGTCTTGGGTATCTTTGCATCTCCTTCAGCTCCTCACCCGGCATCTGCCCCCAGGGTCATCTAACCAGCATCATAAACAAGTGAACAGACACCAAACATTCACCCTGTAAATCTCCTTTCTTTTCTTGCAGAGCTGTCTGCTGACAAGCTCATTTGAAGATGTTTTCAAGCAATGTTTCCGAACAATTATTGAAGGAACACGAAGGTCAGCATTCAAAATACTGGGCAGAACCTTACATTTCCTGAGTTTCTCCAGGGTTCCCCGTTAAGAAACTGAAACCGTTCAAAAGTCATGGTAGTTCCCACCCTTTTATCCTTTTGAACTGCAGAGATCAGCTAGAACCCTTGACCTTCAGGCGCCGACCCTGAGTGAGGAGGCCTCTTTGTAAAACACAAAGATAAACGAACTTGAAAGGACAAGGCTGCCCAAACTTTCACTCTTCCCTGGCTCTTTCTCTACTTCCTTCCTTTTCTCACTCCCTTTTGTAGAAATTCCTGTTCCCTGGGAATCTTCCCAGGGTGGGGCTGGGGAGTGTTTGATGGCTTACAGCCTGACATCTCCTGTGAGTGAGAGTTGGGGGGGAGGCCAAGTCCTTCCCCAAGTCAGTGCTTCCCTGGTTTCACGGGCACCCCGCGACGGCTCGCACGTGGGTGGGGACACATGAGGGTGGGATTTTGAATCCTTGCCACGGACTGGAGGGATGGGACTGGGAAAGGTCACAGCGGTGATGAGGGCTGGGCAGTTCTAATTTGAGAGAAAAGCCGCTATTCCAGGAAGAGCCTAAGCCAGAAGTAGAAAGTTTTTCTGGAAGCCGACACCCCCATTTCCTGTCGCTTCCCTCCAGTGCCTGGGTTCGAGAGAAGCTGCTCTTGGTGGTGGATCTCCTCCTCCGGGGATCTGCCTGCCAGGAGCTGAGCTCATTGAAAACAAACATTCCTGAGGCTCAGTGTAAAATACATCTGGAACAAGGGTGGTTTTTGAAACAAGATGTATAGTCTTCCGCCCTTGGCGGTGAGAACTGATCCCAGCAACGATTAGCTGTCATTCTACCTTCTCATCCCAGTAGGGTAGGTCTCTCGGACTGGGGGAAAACCCCTACCGATGCCAGAGTCGGGGGGCTCGGATCATGCGGTGTGACAGCCTGCAGCTGGGCCTGCCGCTCTTCTCCCTACCCCACTCCAAGTGACGCGACAGGTGTCTTCCCTCTGCTCCCCCAGGGTTGTTGGGACCCTGAATGAGTTTGTCAGACCTGGAGGCTCCTCAGGAGATAAATCCCTGAAAACCAGGGGCAGGCCTGGTGTCCCTGTTTTGTCAGCCCTCGGGTCCCCTCCGGGATAGGCGGGGACCGCCCCGCACGCCAGCCGGGTGCTTTCCATTTGAGATGGGGTTCTGTTTTTGGTTCCTCACCCCATGTGGTATTGACAGCAGTACCACAAACAAAGAACAGACTGGGCATTGTTGCCTTGGGGGTGAGCTCCCAGCACCACCAGGCACTTTCATCTGCAGCCAGAGTGCGCCTCGGGAAAAGGGGCTGCCCACCCTCCCCAAACAGTATAAAAATGGCCCTCTTTGGGGGGGATTTATTTTTACTCTGAGAGGTCAGCAGCGCAGAGCATTGAGCCCATTTATCAGTGAAAACCAGAGCCCATGAGGAAGCACCACCTCCCTCCCGGGAGCCCCGGAGCTTGAGGGAGCGGCCGCGAGGCCCGGCCCACCATGATGTATGAAGTTGTGCAATGCTCAGCATAGTTGGAATTTTCTCTCGGATTCCTCCCCCTACAACCCATGTATAACCCAGAGCAGGAGGCCCGTTTCCTCCTTAACTGTTGCTCTGCCAGCTCCCGCGAGGAAACAGAGCAAGGCCACGTCTTAGCCTCGGCTGGCTGCACCGTCACAGACGGAGCCCCGGGGGTCTGGAACACACTCCCCTACAGGCCACCCCCCGGCCCATTTGCCAGGCTTCAGTGCCCAAATTGGTAGTCTTGGATAATCACAGGGAACTTTTCAGTGGCAAAGGAACAGTAACTACTTTGCAGAGTACCTTTGGTCTCAAGGTTCAGATTTTCCACTGCAGAAGTGTCGGCTCATGCTTTGAGCAGGCACGATAAACAAGTGGCACATGTATGAACATCACCAGCACCTTTATCCCGCTTGAGAGGCAGCCATGTCCCTACACCTGCACAGGTGGGTACCTGCCTGTACCCAGCTTTGGGAAGCCATCTCATCTTAAGCAAGAGAGGGCGCTAGAAGTGAGAGCTAGTGGTGGATGTTGTTTGTTGTTTAGTGGCTAAGTCGTTAATGACTCTTGTGATCCCATGGACTGTAGCCTGCTGAGCTCCTCTGTCCATGGGATTCCCCAGGCAAGAATACTGGAGATGCAAGAGAAACAGGTTCGGTCCCTGGGTGGGGAAGATCCCCTGGAATAGGAAATGGCAACCCGCTCTAGTATTCTTGCCTGGGAATCCCATAGACAGAGGAAACTGGCGAGCTACAGTCCACGGGGGCACAAAGAGTCAGACTCGACTGAGCAACTGAGCATGCACAGGGATCGGCCCCGAATCTCCTGCTTGGCAAGTGGATTCTTTACCACTGAGCACCAGAGAAGCCCAGTGGATGTTAGACATGCCTCCAAAATAACACCTTCCACCATAGGCCCCTCTGCCAAGGACAGCGAGGGAATCAAGGAGATGGGTTTTTTCCCTTTTCTTCTCTTGTGTGGCTAGAGGGGATAAAGCGACAGCCCCTAGAGTTACAGGGTTTTTCCTCACTTCTGTGTTATAACCCTCCACCAGAGGAAAGATCTGTCTTCTCTGCTTTTACCGTTGCTGTCAGAGATTTCTTTCACGTTTGTCAGACAGTCGGCTGAGGAATAAAAACCAGCACTGATTCCCTGTGTGAGGCGGAGGGGCTGGGGTGGGGGAGCGACGTGGGCCCTGGGAGAACCCACCGTGTCTCCCCCTCCCAGATCCACTCTGCCTGCCTGGTCCCTCCCGAAGGAAGAGCCCCCAGTCAGAGGCAACAGGACACCTAAAAGCCACATCTGTTCACCCAGTGTGAAGAGTCAGAACTTCAGCCTCAGCTCTGGCTCTGAGGAAAGTGAAGGTGTATCAGTCTCTCAGCCGTGTCTGACTCGGCAGACCCATGGACTTCAGCCCCTCAGGCTCCTCTGTCCATGGAATTCTCCAGACAAGAATACTGGAGTGGGTTGCCATTCCCTTCTCCAAGAGATCTTCCCAACCCAGGGATTGAACCCAGGTCTCCTGCATCGCAGGCAGATTCTTTACTACTGCAGCATCTAGGCTCTGAGGATTTCTAGTCACATCCTTGTCTTTCCTGATTTTCTAGAGCTCTGTTTCATCTTCCCTTTTTCTGCTGGTCATCCTCTTCCTCTCTCAGTAGAACATGACACAGAGCCGGGAACATGTCCTGAGCCCTCGAGGTGGTCGTGTGATAGAACAGACCATCTCTCACACTCAGTGTCCCATGGGGAACAGCACCCCCTCCTCGTGGAAGAGCTCCGTTCTGAGCATTCCCCTCGGAAGCCGGCTCTTGTCTGAGGCCCTGACACTTGGAATCTGTCACCCGGCTACGAGCTGTGTTCATTTTCCTTCCTCTTCTGACATGTTTTTTTTTTCTTTGCAAACCAGCTCCGGCTCCCACCTCATCTTTGTCCCGTCACTGAGAGACGTGCACCACGAGCCCGTGTACCCACAGCCTCCCTTCAGCTGCTCTGACCTGCTTCGAGAGGACAAAAAGGTACACACGTCCCCTCCTTAACAGTAGGCAGCGAATGCAACGTGCCGGCGGCGACCACCCAGCTCCATCTGGAAGTGCAGGGTGGGGAGATGAAGGGCCTGATTCTCAGCTTCTCTTTATCACAAGCACATGTGTTATATACTGTGTGTTGAACTTTCAGTGGTCTCCCCAGCCCTTGTGGACCCCCCATTTTCCCAGAGGATAAGTTTCTAATTTCAGCATGCTAACGCCGGCCCCACCCTTCTCGTTCCAGCGAGTGCAGCTCGTGTCCGAGCCCTGCACCCTCTCCATAAATGGAGTGATCTTTGGCTTGACGTCCACCGACCTGCTGTTCCACATGGGGGCCGAGGAGATCAGTAGGTGAGAAGGGGGTTCCAGTCCCATGGGCAGTTTCCAGCCCTCTGGACCCTGGTCCTGTCCTTGGCCAAAGGCCTGCTGGGCAGAGTCTTGAACAGGCAGTCCCTAGAGCAGCACTTTCTGCCAAACCCTTTGGCCACTGAGTTTCTCTGCACCCAAAGGGGGTGGCAGGATGCACATGTGTCTGTTACCACTATCTACAGTGTTTGAGGCCCTGCAGGGCCCCTTCCATCCTATCTTTGCCCTTAATTTCTAGTCATAGACATTCATCTACTTTGCTTCCTTTGCCATATGTGTGACCTAAACAAGCTGTCCCTGCGCGTGGGGTGACTGTATTTACTCTGGAGGGTATCCCCCTCCCAGAACAGGGTGCTGCTCTGCAGGGGATCAGACGCTACTGGGTCTGTTGAACCGAGGCTCGGTGGTTCAGTTCTCCCATCACCCATGATGGGAAGGAGCATGGAGCCATTCATGTGTTAGGCGAGATGGGTGTGTGCAGGTTGGCTCTGGTTGGAGGTGCAAGGGTCACCTGGCTACAGCTGGCCCCTCGAGGAGCAGACCCCACGTGCTCTCACATAGTGTGGAGCTGATGATGGCCCTCCTGGGCCCTGATCACAAGGGGTTCCTGCTTCTCGCCTTCTCAACCCAGTGTCCTGCTCAGCAGACCGAGCTGATTACAGATGCATCTTTAAACTTCCCCAGAGGCAACTTCCTGTCACACACCTTGGCCACATCACTTCTCTCTAGTTTAAGAAATCCTCCCCGAAGAGAAACAGGCGCCGAGAAACAAGTTTCCACATTCCATTTCTTGCTTTTCTTCCTTCTGCAGTTCTTCTGGAACTTCAGACCGGTTCAGCCGAATCCTTAAGCACATCCTGACCCAGCGGAGGTGAGCCCGCCCTGTGGGACGTCTGCCTGTGCTGGGAGTGCTTTGGAGTCACAGAGCTTGGACAGATTTGACTTCAAGAACCTTCCCCAGTGGAAGTGAAAGTTGCTCAGTCATGTCCAACTCTTTGCAACCTCATGGATGGCAAGGAGATCAAACCAGTCAGTCCTAGAGGAAATCAACCCTGAATATTAATTGGAAAGACTAATGCTGAAGCTGAAGCTCCAATCCTTTGGCCACCTGATGCAAAGAGACAACACACTGAAAAAGACCCCGATGCTGGGAAAGATGAGGGCAGAAGGAGAAGAGGCGACAGAGAATAAGAGGGTTGGGTGGCATCACCAACTCAGTTGACATGAGTTTGACCAAACTCCTGGAGATGGTTAAGGACAGGGAAGCCTGGCCTGCTACAGTCCATGGAGTCACAAAGAGTCAGACACGACTTAGTGACTGAACAACAACAGCCTTTCCCAGGCCACTACCAGGGAGCTCCCTCCTGGCATGACAGGCCTGTTCTGTCCCCCAAACACAGAGGGAAGGGAGAGGCAGTGTGTGACAGCATAGAAACCAGCGGCAGAGGAGGAGTCTGTCGGGAGGGCTCCCGAGGCCGCTGCTGCTGACTCTCTCTCCTCTCCGCAGCTACTACCCGCTGTACCCACCCCAGGAGGACGTGGCCATCGACTACGAGAACTTCCGCCTCTACGCTCAGCTGCCCGTCACCCCCGACGTCTTCATAGCCCCATCAGAGCTGAGATACTTTGTGAAGGTGGGTTTGAATTCCGCTATTCCCCAGAAACACCAGAACCAGCTCCTTTCTGGACCCCCGGCACTTACTCTTCTCGGGTCTGCTGGTGGGAACAGTGGCCTCATTCCTTTGGGGGAGGGGGCAGGAGTAGAAAACAAATCCGTTAGTATAATGCTTAAGTAAGTGATGTGCCCTTGCTGCCCACCACCACCACCCCATCCTACCCCCAGCATGGTGCTCAGGCAGCCCAGCCTGGGAGCCCAAGAGGCAGCTAGGAAGGCCCTCGAACCATGGTTCTCACCCATGGCCACCTCAGGTGACCTGGGCTTGCCTGTCCCCTCTCCAAACTCTGAGATGAGCTCCCAGCAGCTCTTGGGCACATTCAGATTCGGGCCCTCGCAGGGAATCTATCCCATCAACCTCCTCTTGGCAAACCAGAGCCAGTGCAACCTCCAGAGGTAAACCTTCTTTCACGCTGTGAAACAAATAGAGCAAGTTTGTTTCCACGTTTGGGAATTGGCCGAGTCATCTTCTTTATTTTATTTTGTTTTGGAGACGCAAGAGGGACTCAGAGTTTTCTAGTAATAAATTAACATATTGGACCGAAGATGGTTTTCATTTGCCTTTGTTTCCAGTTTCTATAACATCCTCTGGGGCTGAACCCTGAGATGAGTCCAACTTCTTCACATCCGTGCCCATGGTTTCAGCCTTTCCAGACCCATAGTCGCTCTTTCCTCCCCCCCAGGACATCCTCGGCTGTGTCTGTGTGAACCCGGGGCGCCTCACCAAAGGGCAGGTGGGGGGCACCTTCGGCCGTCTCTATCTCAGGAGGCAGACCGCCGGCGGCGAGGGGAGGCGGAGCCCGTGTGCTGCTGCCCAGGTGGTCAGGATCTGAGCCGTTGTCCTTCGTCACCTCTGTCGCGCGGGCCTCCCAGACGTCGGGCCTGGGAGCAGCCGTCTGATGAGATCCCACCCATGGAAGCAGGGGAGCAAGCTGAGGGCAGGGTGCCCTGCGGGAAGGCCCCGGGCAGCTGGTCCCCAGCCCTGAGTCCAGCTTCTCTGGAAGAAAGCAGTTGTTTCTTCCTGGACACTCGGAGTCCAGAGAGAACTGGCCGTGGGTGCAGCACGCTCAGGAAGGTCAAGGCTTTACGATTTCTTATATGAGTCAGACAGAAAAATAACTTTGGGAGAAATAAAATAAATTCTGTAACTTCTGCATTGAATCTGTCTTCCGCTCCTTCTTTTTCCTGGTAGTGAACAAAGAATGTTGCCTCCTTGACCTCTGTCCAGAGAAGCAGAGCATCTGTCACGCTGGGTTTCCTCCCAGCCCCAGCTCTGACCCTCTGAGGCCCCCGTGGCCTCTGTGCTAAGGAGGTGCTGGGCTCAGCTGAGGAGCGTGCAGCTGGCTGCATGCCGGGCCCACCAGGCGCGGTCCTCTCGGTCCCGGCCCGACCCCTGCATCTGGAGGGGGGCCTCCCGGAGCTGCACCAGAGCCAGATCCCCTTGCGCTGGCTCGGCTGAGTTGCACCGCCGCCCGGGTCTCGCCTCCAGCCCAGAGTGCTCAGACGAGGCCAGGCCCTCCAGGGCCCCGGCCATGTCCCCACCCCTGGGGGTCCTGGCACCTGGCAAGAGGCTGTCACTGCTAAGTGAGGAGTGGGTTTCTGTTCTCAGCTGGTGGCCGTCCTGCCTCAGACTGCAGAGCCACGGCTGGAAACCCCCAGCTGCCAGGCCAAGGGCCAATGCCTTGAGTCAGAGATAAATAGGTAACCTAACTGTCCAACTTTTGCCTCCCCCATCTGACGGTGAAGTGGAATCAACAGATCTGACCAGGCTTGGGCAGAACCGGTCTCCCTTTGGAAACAAGCAGCTGCTGTTCCACTGCATCCGTTTTCTGGGCACCTCCTCTGAAGACCAGAGTTAGAGACCAGCCCCACCTGGGTGGGGGTGGGGCTGGGGCTGGTTTTCCCTCCTCCCCGGGGTGCCCCACACATGAAGCGCCCAGCCGCGTTCCAGACGGCCACTGTGACTTAGCAGCCTCCGGACCTCGCATTCTCGGAGCCTGGGCCCCTCTTCCACAATCCCATAGAATTGCCGCAGCTCAGGATGTCATTTGCATTTCTACCAAGCCAAATGTCTGCTAAAAACCCACCCTGCCCCCGCTTGGAAAACCCTTGCCTGGGAAGATGACAAGCCTTTGGCCACAATAAACAAAATGACCCTCATCGTTTGAGCCACGTGTGGCTCCTGGGGTGTGTTATGGCACACCCTGGCAATTATTTTCACATTGCTGCTGGAGAAGCCATGTGGGGAATGGTAATGTCTTGGTGCCCATTTGGCAAGGATGGGCCAGAGATCCCAGTGGGATGGGGATGGTTAGCAGAGGGGAAATAATACCTGTATCCTGGTGGGTGTGGGGACAGGGCAGGGGGAGGGGAGGGAAGCACGTGCAGGGCAGGTGAGGGGAGAGAGCTGGAGCTGGCATGAATGGGAACAAGAGCCCGTTGCCTGGATACAAGTCGTGTGACTGTGGACAGCGCTCTGGGAGGGCCTAGGCAAGCATTGAAAACAAACAGAAAAAGCAGGATGAGAACCCCAGATTCAGACAGGTCTGGCAGACGCGCCCCCACACACACACACACACCAGAAACTTCCCTTGCTCTCGGCAGGAAGTCAGTGCCCAATGACTGCCAGCCGACTGCTCCTCTGCCCCCTCTAGCTGGCTCAGCAGTTTCCTTAAGCCTCGTTCCTCTCATTTGTCTGGAGCTCACAACTCTAAAATAAGGCTCTGGGGGTGGGGGGGCCTTGGCGACGGGGTTGGGAGAAGAAGAGGAGCCCAACTGGGCCTGGACTCCTGGGACCCACCTGCCCCAGAACCCGCTTTGGCGGCATCTTCCCTGGTCCAGGTGGTGCCCCAAGCCCTTGAGACACAAGCCCATGGGTGAAGCAGGTGGTTCTGCAGAAGCAAAGTCCTGCACTCTGACCAAGTTTACCTTCCACACCTCGATGCCCCAGCCCTGCCCTTGGCAGGGTCCCCAGCCTTCTCTCACCTGCTGGCCTGGGTGGCCTGCCCTGCCTCCTTTAGCCCCTGCTCAGCCACACTTCAGGCTCAGACTCTGTCTCAAGAAAGGTCAGGGGAGAGCTGCAGAGGGAACAAAAGCCCCTCGTAGCTCTGTGTCTGGGAACCCAAGTGTAGAGCAACCAGGAAGCTGGGGGTTCTGGAAGGGGAGGTCCTGGGGGGTGAGGACCTGGGCAGGGCCATAACGTCTCCTCTGCCATCCATCCTTCCTGCCTCCTGCGGCCATTTCAGCCTCAGTGTTTCCTTTCCCTTGGCTTGGGGTCACCCAGGCTTTCTCAGCCCAGCCTTGCCGCTTCCCCTGGTGCTGGGAATAGCCATTTGGGCTGATTTTTCACTTCTCTGTTTGATACACACTTCCTTCCCCCTGACCCTGGGGCTCCTGGCTGAGGCACCTGAGAGCCAGTCCCGGCGGGACACTCGTGGCCTCTCCCTCAAATAACCCTGTAAGAAGACAAGAAAGACCTTGACTGGTAGAGGGTAGAGGAGGGTAGTTTTGTGGTTTTGTTTTTTTTCAATTAAAAAAAAGAAGTGTTACTGAGATATTGGTTGGCCAAAAAGTTCGTCCAGATTGTCAGTACAGAAAACTCGAATAATTTATAATTGTAACAGAGATCCTTTTTCTTTTTTCTTTTTTTTTTTTTTTGCCATGTGGCTTGTAGAATCTTAGCTCTAATCAATCGGGGATGGAACCAGGGACCCCAGCACGGAAGTGGATGCACCAAGTCCTAACCATTGGACAGCCAGGGAATTCCCAAACTTCACCACTTTAATGTGTATAATTTAGTGGGTTTCAGTACATTCACAAAGTTGTACAAACATCACTACTACTTCTAGAATATTTTCATCACCCAAAATAAACCCCATACCCACTAGCAGTTACTCACCATCTCCACCCCACTCCCATTCCCTGGCAAACGCTAATCTACTTTCTGTGTCTACAAGTTTACCTCTTCTGGGCACATCGAATAACTGGCATCATACCAGTGTGTTCTTTTGTGTCTGATTTCTTTCACGTAGCATAATGTTTTCGATGTTCACCCAAGTCATAGCATTATCAGTGCTTTGTTTCTTTTTATGGCTGAATACTATTCCATTGTGTGTGCACGTGTGGTAAGTCGCCTCCGTTGTGCCCAACTCTTTGCGATCTGGTGGGCTGTAGCCCACCAGGCTCCTCTGTCCATGGGGTTCTCCAGGCAAGAATACTGGAGTGGGTTGCCATCCCCTCCTCCAGGGGATCTTCCTGACCCAGAGGTCAAACCCAAGTCTCTCAGGTCTCCTGCACTGGCAGGTGGGTTCTTTACCACAGGTGCCAGTTGGGAAGCCCCATCCCATTGTACAGATGGACTGTATTTTGTTTATCCATTCATCAGTTGATGGACATTAGAGTTGTTTCCACTTTGGGGCTATTGTGAGTAGTGCTGCTATAAACACTCCTGTACAAGTTTTTGTGTGAACGCGTTCTCAATGCTCTTGTGTATACACCCAGGCTCTAAATTTATGAAGGAAGGGAATACAAGGGAAGGGAGGGAGAAGGGAAAAAAGAAAAAAGACCTGAGTGATTGACCTGGAGCCGTGTTTTAGAGCCAGATGACTCAAGCAGTCTAGACTTGTGAAGGAGTTTGGACAGATTCTGTGTGTCTCAGGGGATCTTTGAAGGCTTTCCCACAGCAGACAGACAACATCCAACCTGTAACTTAGGAAAGGGCTGGCAAGTGCCGCACAGAGCAAAGTGAAGCCGAGGGAGATGGAGACACTTGAACGGCTGTCAGAGGACAGGACTTCCTTGGTGGTCCAGTGGTTATGAATCCACCTACAGAGGACATGGATTCGATCCCCGATCCAGGAGGATTCCAACTGCAGAGAGGAACCTGAGGCCGCGCACAGTAACTACTGAGCCCGCATGCTACAACTACGGAAGCCCACATGGCAACAAACACAGCCAAAAAAAAAGAAAAAAGGAAAAAAAAAAAACAGGACAGAGCCTCCCCAGCACCCTCTGTCTGTTCCTACAGAAACAGTACCCCAGTTTCTGTGGTGAGGGGAACCTCCCCCTTCCTCCCTTGCCTAAACCGAACCACACACTGCATTTCCCTGGCCTCAGTAGTTGGCCAGGAATAGGCACAACCCAAGACACAGTAAACACAGTGGCTCCAAGGCTTATGCTGGAGGTAGGAGAAAAGACGCAGCCACGAGGTGGAGCTGCTGCAGCCATCTTGCTTCCATGAGGGGAAACGCCTCCTGAGTATGGATCAAACCAAAGGACAGAGAACCAGAAGCTGGGGGGAGAGAGATCAGCACCAGGCCACATTGTCTGGCCATAAAGTCCAGAGGTTGAAGGGATGGGACTTAACCACTTACACGCAGGCATTTGGACCCCTCTGGCTCCCTGACATCATCATTCTAGATCTTCTATCCCTGAGCAGCCAGGCCTATCTCTGCTCCCTCTGGGTCTTCCTGGAAATGTCAGGGCCCTGGTGGTGTCAGGGCTGGCCTGCTCTTGGGCCCACCAGGCCCATGGCCAGCTCCAGACTCCCCCACCCAGACCCACAGTCCTCCTCCTGTCAGCCCAGAGGCCGCCTGACAGCTGAGCACCATGCAGCTGCCCAGGGCCCCTCAGAAGTCTTGGGACAGCTGCCGGCTGTCACCCCACTGACCCCTGTCCTGTACACTGCTCCTTGAGAGCCCAGGCGTCTGCCCTAAGCCTGGTGGGGCCCTGAAGAGCCCCATCTCTCCTGCCAGCTCCATTGCTCCCAGATCTTCCCAGGGTCTGAAGCATTTCTCACTGAGAAACAGAACTGGAGGCCTGGAGGGCCAAGTCAGTGGGCCCCACGGAGTGAGATGCGGGAGAGCCAGGCCAGCGGAGGCAGCCCCGCAGCAGCCCCTCCGGCTTCTCTGCTCCCAGTAGCTGGAGGAGCCCTCAACCAGAATCTGGAAGGCTCGCCTTGCCTGAGCCCTGGGGCCCACCTTCCCCTGAGATCTGGAGTCCTCCTCAAATGTTCTGCCCCCAACTTAACTTCTAAAATACACACACACACACACACACACACACATACAGGCTTCCCAGGTGGCACTGGTGGTAAAGAAACCTGCCTGCCAATGCAAGAGACTTAAGAGACTCAGGTTCGACCCCTGGGTCAGGAAGACCCC